TCAAACTTGCAATCCTCATACCTCAGACTCCTTTGTTGCCTGGATTAAAGATTTGTGCCACTGCACTTGGTTCCAAGTGGCTTTTTAGTAGCTGTGTTTATATGTGAAGCTTCCCCTTTCCTTCCTTTCCTTTTTTTCCCTTTCTTTTTCACCTTCACAATGGTTTGATTCTTTAGAAGCTGCACAATTTCCTTTATCAATTATCACTCTGTATTGGAAAGATAAATGACACCTATATTTATGGTTAGTTTATGGTTAGGACCTACTTATTTTCAGCAGCTGGTGGCTTTACGCAGAGTTCTTGTGTTCCTAGAAACTTACAGTTCCAGAAAAGATGAGCATAAAAGAAACTATGAATAATGCATTTGAAGATTAACTCAGAAAATCAATGATTATCCCCCCTAGCAGTGTCTTAAAAAAGCAGTTTAATTAATAAAACCTTTTGTTTAAATTTTTTTGCCTCTATTTATGAATTTTAGCTTTTCTATTTAAAAGCTCAACATTAATTACAATGATCAGTGACTTTTTAAAGGATAAACACTTTATTTTTTTTGAACTGGGGATTGAATCCAGGGGCACTGTACCACTGAGCTACCTCCCCAGCCCTTTTTTATTTTTTATTTTGAGACAGGGTTTCACTAAGTTGGTTAGGGCTTCTCTAAGCTGCTGAGGCTGGCCTTAAGCTTGCAATCCTCCTGCCTCAGCCTCCTGAGTCACTAGGATTACAGGTGTGCACCACCACTCTTCTCTTTAAATAGTTATGCCTTTAAGCCACAATAATATATTTGGAGGAGTTAATAAGTAAAATGTACTAAAATGCCAGAACTTTGCCTTAGGTCTGTTATGTTTTTTCCCTTCTTATGCCATTTCATTAGTTCCTTATGTCACTTCAAAGTTCCTTATCCACTAGTACCTTTTTGTTTGTTTGTTTTATTGGTTTTTTTCTTTGGGGGGGGGTAGTATTTTTTTGCACTGAGGATTGCAGCCAGGGACACTCTACCACTGAGCTACATCCTCAGCCCTTTTTAAATTTTGTGATAGAGTCTCTCACTAAGTTAGTTGCCCAGGCAGCCTCAGACTTTCAGTCCTCCTGCTTCAGCCTCCTGGGTTGCTGGGATTATAGGCATGCTCCACTGTACCCAGCTAGCATCTTGTGTTGTATATTTAAGTGTTTATTTTTTCAGCTTGTTTGTTTGAGGAGTTGGTTTTTGTTCTGTTGTTTTAGTAAATTAAAATGTGAAGCAAAATGTGACCTGCTTCTTCTTACTTATCTTCATCTGACTCCTCCAACACATGCAAAAAAGCTGAAACCCCCATCTCACTCAGACTTGATGTACAGGCAGTGGGGAAGGAAAAGGAAATGTGCTTTGCGCTTTCTCATGCTTTTTATGTCCTGAGGGGTTTGGGTATAATTTAGTTTGCTGCAGAGATAAAAATACACGTATTCCTATTTTCTGATCATTTAGATCCAAAAAATAGAAATACATGTTTTTTCTAGCCTTGACTCAGCGGAGTGTTTTTAGTTATTGAATTGTATTCTTTTTTGTTATCATTTTTATTTACTCACTCATTTGTTCAATCAAACAGGGTGTCGTTGCCAGTCACAGTGGTGCATGCCTGTAATTTCAGCAGCAGCTCCAGAGGCTGAGGCAGGAAGATTAGGAGTTCAAAGCCAGCCTCAGTAACATAGCAAGGCCTAACCAACTTAGTGAGACCCTGTCTCGAAATAAAGAATAGGGCTGGGGGTATAGCTCAGTTGGTAGAGTGCTTGCCTCACATTCACAAGGCCCTGGGTTCAATCCCTAGCACCACAGAAAAATAAAGTAAAATAACAAGTAAAAAAGGGCTGGGATTGTGGCTGAGTGGTTAAGTTCCCCTGGGTTCAATCTCTGGTACCAAAAGAAAAGAAACAGAGTCGAGTAATTAGGATTACAGACCTGACCACCATATCTGACTTCATTTTTATTTTTTAATTATTTAGTTCCATTTGGTGCTAACACCTGTCTTGTATCACTTATACCTGTAAAATTCTGTCCAATATTTAAGAACAAATTGGAGCACAAATTGGAGAACAAATTGGGCGAGGTGGTACTCAACTTGTAATTCTACTGACTTGAGAAACTTGAGGCAAGAGGGTTGCAAGTTCAAGGCCATCTTGGGCAATTTAGAGAGTCTGTCTCAAAATAAAAATTAAAAGAGCTGAGGATGTAGCTCAATAGTAGAGTCCCCTAGTTTTCATCTGCCAACCTGGAGTAGACAATACATCCAATTTGATATTCACAGATTGCTGCTTTTACTTTTTTTTTTTTTAAATTGCAGTACTGAGAATTGAATCCCGAGATGCTCTACCACTAAGCTACCTTCCCAGCCCTTTTTATTTTTATTTTTATTGGTACTAGGAATTGAACCAGAGGTCAATTCCCACTGAGCCTCATCCCTAGCCCTTTTTTTGTATTTTATTTAGAGACAGGGTCTCACTGAGTTGCTTAAGGCCTTGTAATTTACTGAGACTGGCTTTGAACACGTGATCCTGCCTCAACCTCCCAAGCAACTGGGATTACAGGAGTGTGCCACTGTGCCTAGATCCTTTTTATTTTTTGAGACAATCTCAGTAAATTGCCTGGGTTGGCCTCAAATTTACAAGCTTCCTGAATTGCTGGAATTTCTGAACCACCACACCTAGTACAGATCACTGCTTTTAAAAAATAAATATCCTGCTGGATGTGGTGTGTGTACCTGTAATCCCAGCACCTTGGGAGGCTAAAGCAGGAGGATTGCAAGGTTAAGGCCAGCCTCAGCAACTTTGGCTCTAAGCAACTTAGCGAGACCCTATCTCAAAATAAAAAAAGGGCTGAGGATGTGTGGCTCAGTGATTAACTGCCCCTGGGTTCGATCCCTGGTACCAAAAAAAAATTTTTTTTAAATATATATCCTCTGGCTGATGTTGTGCCTCAGTGGTAGAATGCTTGCCTTAGTATGCATGAGGTATTGGGTTCGATCCTCAGCACCACATAAAAATAAAATATTGTGTCCACCTAAAACTAGGGAATAAAATATTGTTTTAAAAAATATATATTTTTTAATATTTCTATACACACACACACACACATATATATATATATATGTATATATATATATATCCTAAATTATACCCATCAGGACAAAGAATTAAAGTAGATTTCTTTGTTTTCTCGTTCCATTTAAACAGTGTTAACGTCACAGAAAAGTAATGAATATCCTGTAAGTCTGAATCCTAAAAAGCTTTCTCCTGACAAGTTCTGGGTATCTCCAAATAGATCCATTAGTAAAAACAAAGAATTGGAAATAAAAAGGTAAGAAATGTCAAGTTGTGGTCTTGAAGTAACATATGTATGCACTGCACTCTTATTGTTAATTTTCCCCCTACTCTGCAGGTTTTTCCTTTTTCTTTTCTTGTAGAAAGGCATTTATAACCTCTCATTTTGCTCTTTAACACTTCCTTTTTTTAACTGTATATAGGCTTTTAGGACCTATACAATGCATAAGCTACACATGAGAATTGTACAGTTATTTGAAGGTCAGAGTACACTATGGTAGAACTAAAACCTAGACTGGTCTGGTGGCACATCTGTAGTCTCGCTATTTGGGAGGCTAAGGCAGAAAGATTACAAGTTTGAGGTCAGTCTGGACAATTTAGCAAGACCCTGTCTCAAAATAAAAAAGACTGGGGATATTGCTTTGTGATTGGAGCACCCTGTGTTCAATGCCTAGCACTACAAAATCAAAAAATTAAATAGAATAGAACTAAAACCTGAGCAAGCCTGCAGGATGATGGTAGACTTCCCCAAGACATCCCTTTCTCTGATTGAAATGTTTGCCTTTCTAGAAAAAAATTGCCTGTTGATTTACCTCAGGAATTATTTAGAGTATTATTAAAGGATGTATGTTCAAAACATTGTTTATATATGACTGTATAGCACTTTATATTTTAAAAAATACTCAAGCCATTAGGGTCACATATCTCACCACTCCAGAAAGTATAAAGAATTCATATTTATTAAATCCCTACCGTGTGCCTTCGTGTATATGTTTCTTACTTAACTTTGGGAATGGTGCTAGGTTGTCAATAATCTAACCACATCCTATTTTCTAAATCCTTTGGGCTTAACTGAGGTCCTGGGAATTAAACTTAGTAGTGCTTTACCACTGAGGTACATCCCCAGTCTTTTGTTTTGAAGCCAGGTCTCACTAAGTTGCCGAGGGCCTTACCAAGTTGCCTCAAACTTGCAGTCTTCCTGCCTCAGCCTTCTGCGTTGTTAGGATTATAGGCATGCACAATCACTCCTGGCTTCTAACCAAGGATATATTTTTGAAGCTAGTGATTGTGATAGATAATGAAAAGATCTGGTTTCTTTAGGCATGAAAGCCATGTTTAGGAGTAATGTCCACATTGTCCTGCTTTAACCATTTGAGCTAACTGTCCACTTAATATTCAGATTAAATAGAGACTTTTATCATAGACCCTACACATAATTGAACTTCCTCCCTCTACTAGACAACTAGTAATTCAGTTATTGCTCATCTTCTGTCCACAGGGTTTGACTTTAATGCCTAACTCATAGTAAGAAGCCAGTAATTAAATGTTCAAGTAATTAATGTCTGAGCCCTTTAAACCTATTGATAATTATTTTTTCAAAGTCCTAAACACCTGAAAGAGTAGAGGAACTGCTTATGGTTGCATATTCTAACAATATTTAATGGTTGGCTTTTTTCTTTTTGGGGCAGGGGGGCAATGCTGAGATTGAACCCAGAGCCTCATACATGTTAGACAAGCTCTCTACTACAGAGCTACATCCCTGTCCATTATAAATGACTTTTGTTTTTGGACATTGAAAAGGCAAGGCATAAGGATGATTCTGTAAATTCTGCCCAAAGTAGGTAGAAAGAATAAGTATACAGATGTCAACATTAATCAAATTTCTATCTTCGTAAAAGGTCTGATTCTAATATATTCGTGTGGACTCAAGTAGAATACTATATAGAATTTGAGTGAGTGGTGGTGTATAATTTGGTAAAAATTACTGATGTGCTTTTCAACAGCTAGGAGATATATTGCCTTAGAGTAACCCCTCAGAGGAGATGTCATATGTCAGCCATGGCATGTTGGCAGGCAGCATGAATCCAGACTTCTAGGAGGTCATGTGAGCTTTTTTACTAGTCATTCCTTATTTCTCTGACAGTGAACTGTTTCACTTATGCTTTAGCTGCCTGGGAATTATGATCAGTCCTTTCAGAGTTGGTGGTGATGGTTTTCTTCTTTCATCTATCTTTCCAGGTCTTCTCCCACTTCTAAATCCCAGTTGGTAGATAATAGGTGGTCTGCACATAGTCACACTACGAGTCTTCAAAACAGAAACTGTCCCTCTCAAGAGGATCTCATTAAGATTGTTGATGTGGAAGAGCAAGAACTGAAAAAGTCTGAGCCACCTGATTTAATGGAACAATCTTACTTGCCAAGGCAAGATCTAGGTAATATTTCAGATATTCTAATAGAAAAAACACTTTTTATTTTATTTTAATCCTATATAAAGGTATTCTGGTTAATCAGGAATATAGTCATAAGCCAGGCACAGTGGTACAACTTCAGATATACTAACCTATCATGGATGCTTCTGTTATACTGAAGCCTAATTTTGAAAAATAGCTTGAGTTAACACTTGAATTACTCCAAGTTTACTTGAAAATTATTGTATTTTTTTAATCTGTTTATATTGGTTTAAGTAACAGTTTTAAGAATGAAGGAGTCAAGTATACTCTAAATATTTTACTTCAACTATTAGATAAAAGTTCTAAGGCCCTAGAGTAAAGTTTTACACCTGTTCTTTATTGAAAAGAAAACGGAATCCCAATGCAACCTCTTATTTATGAATTAATGAATACAAATAACCATATATTTTATACTTTATAAATCTCTTTTAATGGATAGTATCTTGGATGGCTTTTAAATCAAAGTTTTAATCAGTAATGAAAGTTTTTAATTAATCCTCAAAAACACATTATCATCAAAGGCTTTACGTGGCATCAAATGTGGCATTTGGCCAGGTTCATTAGGGTCAATTTTAAGAATCTCAGACCTTTTATTTATCTGCTTACTTTCTGACAGAATGACACTTTTTGAAATGTTTCAAGGATGGTGTCTACTGTTTCTAATTTGGTAGTGCTTTCTGTTGATTTATTAAATAGAAAATGTAATGGTATCATTGTAAGTGCAAGAAGGAAAATGGAGTCTTTCTCATATTTTCAACCTCCTTCTCCTTCCTTATAAAAGTACTGTATGTTCATTGTCCACAATTTGGACAATATAGGAAATAAAAAATGAGGGATATTAAAATTACCTGTGTTCCTATCCATTAACAATGAAACATTGCTTTTTTTTTTTTAGTTACTTTATGTAAAATTTTAATTTTAAAATATAGTCAAGAGGAGGGATATAATTGGTATATTCCCCATTGGTAGATGCTTGCCTTGCATGCACAAGGCCCTGAATTCAATCCCCAGGACCACAAAATAAGTAAAGAAAAAAAAGCAAGGTACAGCCGTATAGGCCTACAGTTCCAACTACTTGGGGGATCACTTGAGCCCATGAGTTTGAGGCCAGCCTGAGCAATGTACAATCAAAAAATAATAATAAAATCGAATCAAGATAAATAATATCTTTGCTATCATCTTTAATATATTAGAAACATTTCTTCATTTTATTGAACATCAGCATTTGTATTCAAACTGTAATAAGGGAAGAGTAACTCCTTTGAAATAAATGTATCACAATTTATTTAATCTCATATTGGACATGAGATCATTTCTAAAATTAAACTATTATATAAACAGTGTTGCAGTGAACATCCCTATGACTAAACCTTTGCGTATATCTCTTATTTCCTTAGGATGCATTTCTAAAATTAGAATTGTTGACTGAAAGTGTGAACACATGTTAAAACTTTAGCTACATAATGACATATTGTTAAGCCACTGCACTTCCACCAACAATGTATCTGTGTATATTGTACCTGTTTCTGCTCTTAACCTAACTTCACCTTTAATCTTAGCCAACACTGAAATCTTGTAATTCAAGATTCATTGTCTTATAAATTAAATTTCTCTGGTTCCTTTCAGAGGGAACCCCTTACCTGGAATCTGGAATCAGCCTCTTCTCTAAGGATCCTGATTCTGATCCCCCTGAAGACAAAGACCCAGAGGCAGTTCATGTTTGCAATGTACCAGCTTCAACCTCTGCATTGAAATTATGCCAATTTCAAGTTGGACAATCTGCCAACAGTCCAGCTGTTGCTCACACTACTAGTACTGCTGGGTATAACGCACGGGAAGAAAGTATGAGCAGGGAGAAGCCAGAATTCACATCTCCAACAGAAAGGACCAAGCAGAGAATATCCATGGTGGTATCGGGCTTGACCCCCAAAGAACTTGTGAGTGTATCTATATGTATCTCTGTAATGACTAAAATTTAATAACATGCTACAAATAGTTTTACATAGTTTAAATAGTTATGTATAGTTTTATATAGGTACTAGCAATGAATAACCTATAGGAAGAAATTTATGCAATAAGCAGAATTATATGTGATTTAATTTTCACTCCTAATTTCTGAAAATTTGCACTAAAGCTCAGGTATGGGATTTCTCATATATTTACTTGTGAAAAAGAATTATTAAATATTAGCAGAAAAGTCATGCTTTCGAATATGATATAAAACTTTAGAATTAGAATTTTCTTTTTACTTAATAATTCAAGTAGGTATGGCTCTGTTCTCTGAGAGGCATTCTTGTTTTTCCCCCCTCAGTTTGAACTTACTAACATGTTTCTGCTTAACAATGGTGTTTTTTCTGTGTGTGTTTGTCTTTATCCTGGCTTCTAAGACAGCTATTCAGTAGCCTGCCCTGTCATTTCTGCCCTATAACAACCTTTGCTATTAGAATTTTGGCATCTCCTTGGACCCCTTGTGCCAGAAATGGGAATTGTTTCACATTGTAGAAATACCCACTAACATATTAAGACCCTTGAAATCTTGTTTGTTCTTAATTAGGCTTCTTGTAGATTTTAGGCATCCTGGGAAATTTACTTTACCTGTAATTGGCATTGGTATTACTTCATAATAAAATAATGAGTGAATTTCTTTAAGATAAGACTGGTGTGATAGTACATGATTCTAATCCCAACAACTCAGGAGGCTGAGGCAGGAGAATTGTGAGTTCAAAGCCAGCCTAGCAATTTAGCAAAGCCCTAAGCAACTTAGCAAGACCCTGTCCTAAAATAAAATTTTTTTATAAAAGCTGGGGATGTGGCTCAGTGGATTCAATCCCCAGTTCCAAAAAAAGAAGACAAGATAACATATCAGACTATCAATTGGATTCAATAGTTGGTGCCATGAACTGCACACAGAGAGGCAACCAATTCATTCTGAAGTATCTTTCATAATATATCCTTCTTAGGATAAGAACCATTTCTCATCCTAACTTCTCCATGGATAGTGACTCAGAATAACATTCTTTGGTCTGATGGTCTAAAGGGCAAAGAAGCAACCCGTGTGTGCCCTGATAGATACAATATTTAAGTGCAAGATGGCAGCTGTTGATGTTCTCACTTCACAGCAATTGGCTCTGAAAATTCTTATGGTATATCTGATTAAATGGCTCTTGATCACTTGTCCACACATTGAGAATTCCCATATATCCATTGAAAATTAGCATTCCTTATTCCTTTGTTTTGAGAGTTTAGGTTTTCAGAGATGCCTAAAATGATCTAATCTTTTTTGCCATGGGCAATTCTAAACTGCAGATTAAACTATAGTGGCTTGGGTACATGCTGTTTTTAAACAAGCAAAGAGGAAAACTTCGAGCTCTTTTCAGACTTGCTGAAGTGTGATAAATTTATGATGAAAGCTACTGACTGTATTACACATGATTAATTCTGAAGCCTGTATTAAGATGATCTTTACAGCAGTTGCTCTTCTAACTGAACACTGTTTCAAGGCTGAGGTTTCAGCAATTAATCAGTTCAGAATTGCTAATGATCCTGGCAGAGGGCAGTGGCAAAAGGAGGAGGATGTCATTAGCTTCTCTAGTCTGCCTTTTTTCAGTGCCTCATGGCAGTATGGAGTTGAGGCAGCATGAAAGAAAGATGGCCTGACCTCCATTACAATATTATACAGCACATAAATATTGGAGTGGGTGGTGATGGCTAGTAAATGATGGCCCTTGGTAAACAAAGTTATTTGCCATACAGTAGCTACCAATTATGTCAGCTGTGCTCATAATGGTTCTGCTTAATTTCTTTCACTGCCTATTGATTTTTATTTGGTTAATAGATAATAGCTAAAGGACTCTAGATTTCTTTTGCAAAGAATGAGTCTCTTTGAATCCTCCTTAGAGAGAATTGATAGTTTTTGCACTGACCTTTAGAAACATCTTCACTAAGTGTTTTTTAACTATCAGAGAATCGACTCTTGTTTTTTAGCCACATTTATCTGTAGCATAACTTTCTGTAGAGGTTAGTTACCTCTCAGTTTATAAAGTGAAAGCTAGATTATAGATAGATCTAAATAATAATAAATCTAAAGTATAGTTGAAAAGAAATTGTATTAGGGAATCAAATGATATCTGCTATTAATGATAAAATTTATATTATTTGAATTTTTGGTTTAATTCCATGTCTGCTAACACTGTTACATTATATTAGAATGTTTTGCTCTAGTTTGTACATAATTTTTATTAGATTATTCATTTTTGAGACTTCAAGCATGTTAAGATTTAAAAAATGTACCTTTTCTGAGAAAAATGGAGATTTAGAGCTAACATAATTAATACTTAATTCATGTACTAGATGTAATTTATTATAATACAGCATTTGATTTGATTTCAGATGCTTGTACACAAGTTTGCCAAAAAACACCATATCATTTTAAGTAATCTAATTACTGAAGAGACTACTCACGTCGTTATGAAAACAGGTATACCAAGAACCAACTATCTTCCTTCCTTCCTTCCTTTCTTCCTTCTTTCCTTCTTTCCTTTCTTACTTTTTGAGATAGGGTCTCACCAAGTTGCTGAGGCTGGCCTAGAACTTTCAATTCTGCTGTCCCAGGCTTCTAAGTAGATGGAATTATAGATGTGCACAACTGCACTGTCCTAAGAACCTTTATAGAATGTGTTGCATCTGCTGCATAAACCACATGAAGAAATAAGAGCCAGATCTTGGGCTGGGGATGTGGCTCAAGCGGTAGTGCGCTCGCCTGGCATGCGTGCGGCCCGGGTTCGATCCTCAGCACCACATACAAACAAAGATGTTGTGTCTGCCGAAAACTAAAAAAAAATAAATATTTAAAAATATTTTCTCTCTCTCTCTCTCTCTCTCTCTCAAAAAAAAAAAAAAAAAAAAAATGAGCCAGATCATGGTAGCACACACTTGTAATCCCAGCTACTTGGGTGACTGAGGCAGGAGGATGACAAGTTCAAGCCCAACCAGGGCAATGTAAGTGAGACTATGTCTAAAAATAAAAGAGCTGGGCTATAACTCTGTGGTAAAGTGTACCTGGATTCAGTCCCAAGAATCAGGGTATTAAAAAAGAAGAAAAACTTCAAACCAGGTATAGTGGTACATGCCTGCAATCCTAGCACTTGGGAGGCTGAGGCAAGAGGATCACAAATTCAAGGGTACTAAAAGCAACATAACAAGACCCTGTCCCAAAAATAAATTGTAGGGGTTGGGGTTGTAGCTCAGTGGCAGAGCACTTGCTTAGCATGTGTGAGGCATTGGTTCAATCCTCAGCACCACATAAAAAATAAATTTAATAAATGATAAAAGATACTGTGAGGGCTGGGGATATAATTCAGTTAGTAGAGCACTTTCCTCACATCACAAGGCCCTAGGTTCTAATCCCCAGCACCACAAAAAAAAAAAGAAAAGAAAAAAGATATTGTGTGTCCCTCTACAACTAAAAAAAAAAATATTTAAAAATAAATAGATAAAATATATCTCAGAAGTAGAGTACCCTTGGGTTTGATCACCAGAACAACAACCAAAAAGAAAAAAAGACTTCAAAAATAGTGAAGAATTCTGTGAGGGAGAACGGCCTGCTGTGTTTAGCATCTAGTTAAATACATTTCTCTTGTTTAAAACTAAATGGCATTTTCTTGGTTTTTTAGTTCTTCAAAAGGGTCTTTGAAACACTAGGAAATAAATAGAAGTGATTTTTCAGTTACTGCTTTCAGAAATACTTATGTAGGGAAGAAAAAAAGCTATGAAGAGACTGTATTTTTCTGTCCCTCTCAGAGGAGTACAAGGCGGGTAGGATTCCCCAGGTAGAAGTTATGTGGGTGAAAATTTGTCATGTTGACATTTCAAAATTAGGGTTTCAACAATGTTTTCTTCTCCTTTCACATATTACCATCCAGTAAAGTAGATCTTTTCCATCTGCATCAATCACCACTGCTGACGTGGATAATTCCTTGAACACAATAGTGGAGCTCTTGAGCTAGCCTTGGCATCTAGAAGATGGGACAGACATTTCCTCTAGTCTTTCCTATCTTTTTCTTCGGGCTTCCAAAGATCCACATCTGCTGGTGATAATTAGTGATGCTTCCAGCCTCGGATGCTATCTCCTGGGATGTGGGAACCATCAATCCAGATTGATCTTGAGAGCAGGAACTGGGCTCTTTCTCTTCTTAGGTGTAACTTCCTGACTTTGTTTTCTTCTTGTAATCCTTCATATGCTTTTCATTTTGCAGATGCTGAGTTTGTGTGTGAACGGACACTGAAATATTTTCTCGGAATTGCAGGAGGAAAATGGGTAGTTAGCTATTTCTGTAAGTATAATACAGCTTCTCCCCCCATTCCTTTAACACCTCAGAATTGCATTTTTACAACTAACGTCTTAACACCTGAGGTTTTTGCTGATGCTGTGTCTGAATTACCAGAAAGGTCTTTATTGGTAACACAAAACTAGCCTTATCTTTAATGCATATTGCTTTGTTCAGTTAAGCTGGTGATGTTGGGAAATAGATTTATTTCATAACTAATAGGACCTAATCTGCTTCTAGCAATGTTTGCATATGAACTGAGAATTTATTTAATAGTAGGCAGAATTCCATGTGCAGCAGGTACTTTTACAATGTTTAAATTAAGCATCAACTGTGTCTCCAGGAGGAAATTTCTACCATAAGCCTCATTAAAGAACTATGGCTTCAGAGAGAACCTTCTTCCCATGCTCTTTTGTGAATTGCTCAACTCTCCACCTTCACATAAAAGATTGTGTTCTTCTGCTCTATGTAACCTGTTTTTTTCTGTGATCTTTTAAGGGGTGACCCAGTCTATTAAAGAAAGAAAGATCCTAGATGAGGTACGTATTTGATATTACAAACTAATCAAGAGACATTTGATATCATTGAGTCACACAGTTAAGAAAAATTTATCTGCTTCCTTCCATGAGTGTAGCACTTTCCATAAATTTTCCTTGACAGTGGAGATCATCAGGAGTGATATAGAAACCTGTGAGGTGATGCATCCCAGCTACTCATAAGGCTGAGGCAAGAGGATTTCAAGTTCAAGGCCAGCTGGGCACTTTAGCAAGACTGTCTCAAAATAAAAAATAAAATGGTCTGGGCATATAGCTCAGTAGTAGAGCACTTGCCTAGCATATGTGAGACTAGATTCAATCCAGTACCACAAAAAGAGAGAGAGAGATCTAGAACAGACCAAGAAATTCTGTGTTCTCATTCATTTATTCTAGATTTCAAAAGAAATAATCATCTCTTTGAGGGAAAGGGAAAGGAATTTATAAAACAAAGAAAAGATTCATAAGGACAAGGTTGGGATAGATCTTACATGTGTACATAAACTAATTCTTCACCATTGTTAAAGAAAAAGACTTTGTATTAATATGCAAATGTGTCTCCTTAGAAATCAGATTTCTTCAAAGAGATGTTGCTCTTGATGATACTGAGAACAGTGAGAGGTAAATAAGATAAAGTGTAGGAGGAGGAATAATTTTAGAACAGCCAAGAACTGCTGGTGACAATAGATCAGGCAAAATAAAATTAGCAAAAGCAGTTTTAAAATATTATGTGTTATTCAGTATATTCATAATTAATTGACATTTTTGTTGGTTTTAACATTCATTCAGTAACTATTAACTGGGAGCCTACTATGTGCCAAGCACTAGGAATACAATAATAAACAAAACCCATCAATTCTGTGCTGTTATATATTTATGTTCTGTTGAGGGAAGATACTCACTAAGATGAATTTAAGATACCAGGCAAGGTGGCACACACCTGTAATTCCAGTTTCTAGTGGGGGGGGGGGCTGAGGCAGGAAGAGCACAAGTTCAAAGCCAAACTCAACAACTTAGCAAGATCCTGTTGTAAAATAAAAGAATAAAAAGGCTTGTGGATGTAGTTCAATTGTATATCACCCTGGATTTAATCCCCAGTACTCGAGGTAGGGGCAGTGGGACACAAGAAATGCTTTGAAGGGCTGGGGATGTGGCTCAAGTGGTAGCGCGCTCCCCTGGCATGCCCAGGGTGTTGGGTTCGATCCTCAGCACCACGTAAAAATAAAATAAAGATGTTGTATCCACCGAAAACTAAAAAATAAATATAAAAAAAAAGAAAGAAAGAAATGCTTTGAAGAACAACAGACTAGCAATCAGCTGGGGATAGGGTCATGGAAGCCCTTTCTGAAAAGATTGAGCTGAGACCTAAATGAAAAGAAAGAATTGTTAGTGGCACAGCGGCACACACCTATAATCCCAGCAGCCCAGGAGGCTAAGGCAGAAGGATTGTAGTTCAAAGCCAGCCTCAGCAAAAGCAAGCCACTAAGCAACTCAGTGAGACCCTATCTCTACATAATACAAAGTAGGGTTGGGGATGTGGCTTAGTGGTCAAGTACTCCAGAGTTCAATCCTCGGTATCCCCCAAAAAGAATTATTTTTGAAAAAATGTAGAGGACAACTGTTATAGGCAGAGGAACAGAAAATGTTAAAGGTCTTGAGGTAAGAATGAGCTGGGTTTACTAAAGAAAAATACACCATGGTTTGGGGAGGTAGCTCTGTGGTAGAGCACTTACCTAGTAGCATGTATAAGGCCTTACCTAGCATATATAAGGCCCTGAGTTTAATCCCCAGCACAGACAGAAAGAAAGAAAGACCAGTGTAGCTGGAGAGTAATAATTGGTGAATTACGTGTACAGGGCAGAGATTGGACAAGGGCCAGATCAGGTAAGTTTAGGTATAAGCCATGGTAAGGAATTTTATTCTTAGAATAACGAGAAGGTAAGAAAAGGTAGGTTTGGGGGCTGGAGATGTGGCTCAAGTGGTAGCGTGCTCGCCTGGCATGCATGCGGCCCAGGTTCGATCCTCAGACACCACATACAAACAAAGATGTTGTGTCTGCCGAAAAACTAAAAAATAAATATTAAAAAAAAAGAAAAGGTAGGTTTGGAATATATATAAAGCTAGGATCTGCTAATGGATTAAATTTAGAGGATGAAGTAAAGAGAAAGCAAAGAGGTAATTCTTGGGTTTGGGACCTAAACAACTGAGTGAATGTTAGTATTATTATAGTTGAAAAGACATGAGGGAGGAGCCCATTGGGAAGAGGGAGGACAGGAGTGGGATCAAGAATTCTTTTAGATGAGTAGATTTTTGAGATTTATACAAGACATCTGGAGAGAATGGTTAAATAAGCAGTTAGACACATTGTAAGAAGCTCAGGGGTGCAATCAGGACTATAAACATGGCAGTTATCTTTAAATAAATGGCAAATTCATCACTAGACTCTTCTTATTCAAGTGACTAGGAAATGTTAGGTGTTCTTTCCCCTAGTAATAGCCTGTGATTACAATCTTGCCTTTATTTTTCTTAGTAATACTCTTAGCAATACATGCAGTCTTCTCCATAATCTGAGTTTCAGTTTGAATGTGTGTGTTGGGCATGCATGTGTGGTTCTGGGGATGGAACCAGGGCCTCATGCGTGCTAGATAAGTACTCTACCACTGTCCTATATCCCTAGCCCCAGAATTATTTCTAAGCATTTTGCCCCAAGTTTCTCCCCAAAATTCTAAACTCCCCAATCCCATTAGTAGTAGTAGTAGTAGTAGTAGTAGTAGTAGTAGTAGCAGCAGCAGCCAGGGATTGAACTCAGGGGCACTCAACCACTGAGCCACATCCCCAGCCCTATTTTGTATTTCAGTTACAGACAGGGTCTTACTGAGTTGCTTAGCGCCTCACTATTGCTGAGGCTGGCTTTGAACCTGAAATTCTTCTATCTCAGCCTCCTGAGCCATGGGGATTACAGGCATGTGCCACTGTGCCTAGTTCCCATTCTTTATTCTCTCTTCCTTAACCAAAGTAATGATTATGAAAGGCCTGTAACTTTCTTCACTATAGTAAATACATATTTTATCATTTTAGCTTCATTAATTATAACTCTCTCAGTGGAAATCTGAAAAGCCCTTATTTCTTTAAAAGGCAATATACAATTGATTTAAGAGATCAGGAATTCTCCAGTTATCTTTGTAACAGCACAGTATTAGCAGTTTAATCTAAATGCTAAGTGAATATTTTGAGAGAAGATAGATGTTGAAAATTAAAATACATTAAGTCCCAGTGAGGTGAAAAGCCAATTGTTAATTTCTGTATATGAAGATTTGCTTCAATGAATTGATTTCAGCAGCTGAGATCCTGGTCATTTCATCCAGTCCACCAAAAAGAATGACTTTATTTATTTATTTTTGGTTAAAACTCTGGCAATTCTGGATTCTTTAAACAGATCTGTTTGTTCCACTTCCACTGAAGGAGGCTTCTCTTTCTCTGATCCTGATGGTTTGGGTTTGGTTTCTTTCAGCATGATTTTGAAGTCAGAGGAGATGTAGTCAATGGAAGAAACCACCAAGGTCCAAAGCGAGCAAGAGAATCCCAGGGCAGAAAGGTAAAAGCTCCCTCCCTCTTATTGACAAGAATTCCATGGTTCTCCATTCCAGCCAGCTTTGTGGCAGTGGTTTTCATCAGGTTAGGCACTGCTATAGCACCAGCTCAGTGTTTTCACACAGCTCTTTTTAGTTCTCCCAGCCCAACAAGGCAAATAATGTTTCTATTGTACGACCAAGAGAACACAGAGGTTTAGAGAGGCTGTATAATTTCGTGACTAGGAAATGTTAGGTGTTCTTTCCCATAGTAATAGCCTGTGATTACAATCTTGCCTTTATTTCTCTTAGTAATACTCTTAGCAATACATGCAGTCTTCTCCATAATCTGAGTTTCAGTTATTTCTAAGCATTCTGCCCCAAGCCCCGTGGGCTTCAAGTTCCAGCTGATAAGTGGCAGAGCTAGGTTTTTATAGAAGTGTAAATCTAAAACCTTTGCTCTTTCCACTTTACCATGGTATCTTCCTTAAAGCAGTGTAGTAAATACTATGAGCAGGGGATATAGAGGGCTATCTGCTGGAGCATATAAGAGGAAGTGGTTAATAATCAACAATAGCTGGCATTTATAGAACGTTTACCATATGTTAGGGAATGTTCTAAATCTTCAACCATATTTTGACTATCAATTTTCCAACGACCTTATGAAATATGTACTATTATTACCTATTTTACCTATGAGAAGAGCTCAGAGTTTGAGTAAGTGGCCCAAGGTCACATAGCTAGTTAGTAATGAAACCAGAAATTGAACCCAGTCCTCCTAGCCCCAAGTCTAAACTCTCAACCATGCCATGGCTTCTTAGAAAGTTACAGAAAGTTTTATAGAGGAGAAAAATAGATATTCAAACAATTTTGTAAATGAGGCCCAGGGAGATTCAGTGGCTTTCTCCAAATAATATTGTAGCAGATGATGTGGCCAAAACTGTGTCCTTTTCTCAGGGAGAAGTCCAAGCAAGATCTCACACTTGTCTGTCAGGCCTGAGCCAGCTGCTTTCTCAAGTTCCTGACTAAGTGCTTGTGTTCCTGGTGTTCTTTTCTTCTTTTCTCAAGAAAAAAAAAAAAAAATGCCACAGGGCATTTCAGAACATCCCCATTAGGAGCACCTTCTGTCCTTTTACACAAACTTAAGCAAGAACCAATAGAGTTTTCTAAAGAAAACTGCTTTGGGAGACAATCATAAATCAAGCCTGGAGTTCTCCACCCTGGAGTTCTCAACCCCATCCTCACGCTCTCAGCCTATCAAGTAACTGTTGCTAATGTCAAGAAAAGTACTTGCCCTACTTCTTCCTCTGCCTTCTGCCCAGGGGAAGCTCTGTGAGAACCAACCATTTGTTTTTGACTCCATTTGATTCAAGGCAGAATTAGCACCAGATTCCTCCCACCTTCAAAGGAAATTCCAGTGCTTTGAGAATTTTCCTGCTTTCCAGGATGCCATTGCTGGGCTTGGTGGTTTGTGCCTGTAATCCCAGTAACTCGGGTGGCAGGAAGATCACAAATTCTAGACCTGCCTGGGCAAGTTAGCAAGACCTTGTCTCAAAAAGGGATAGTAGAGTGCCCTTGGTGCCACTGAGAGGAAAAAAGTACCTGGCCAAAGGAATGACATTCTAAAGATACTAAATGTCATCTAGTATTTTCCTCTAGAAGAGAAATGTATTTGTAGAAGTAAAGCTTCAAATTCCTTATCTCATGACTAGACATTCTCATCAGTGTCAGCCTGGATGCAAAAATTCCTAATATGTTGTACTTTTCATGGTACTATTTGGTTCCAGCTGGCTGCCTGGGGAGAACTCTTAGCATTATGATCATCTAGGTCCTATCAACAGGTTGAGGATGCATTTTATTCATGCAGATGGGAAGAATGGTACAAATGGAAGCTGTCACTTAAAACAAAAACAGACTTGTCCTGCTGTCTTTTCTTTTTTCTCTGCCTGTAAAGTGTGTGTATAGGGAGAGGGGGACACATTGCTGTGTTTTTAACTTCCTGATTTTTCTCTATTTTTGTCTTTTAGAGGCCAGATAAATTTGAGGCCTATGTAATTTTCTTTTTAGTTGAATGGGAAGTAGGAAGAGGGTCAAGACAATGAGAGTTGTCCAAAATAATATACTTTTTAAAAATAAATATTCATCTGCTGGGCATAGTGGCACATTTCTGTAGTCCCAGCTACTGGGCAGGCTGGGGCTGGAAGATTACTTGAGCCTAAGGGTTTGTGAACATCCTAAGCAACATAGTAGGACCCCTATCTCAAGGAGAAAAAAAAATAAAATATATACACACACACACACACACACATTCAGGCTGGGAATGTGGCTCAATAGTATGACACTTGCCTAGTATACAAAAAGCCCTGAATTCCTCTCTTAGTATTGATTTTCTTAAAAGTGTGTATTTGTTTATGCATCCAACTGACACAAATTTATGGGGTATTTTTTTTTTTAATGCAGTGCTGAGAACCAAACTTGGGGCCTTGCACATGCTATGCAAGCGTTCTACCACTGATTTATTCCCCAAACTCTAGGTTTCTTTTATTTTTTATTTTTTTAAAGAGAGAGGAGAGAGAGAGAGAATTTTCAATATTTATTTTTTTAGTTCTCGGCGGACACAACGTCTTTGTTGGTATGTGGTACTGAGGATCGAACCCGGGCCGCACGCATGCCAGGCGAGCGCGCTACTGCTTGAGCCACATCCCCAGCCCGTCTAAGTTTCTTTTAAATAATACCCAAGTCCTTTTCTAAGAATCTGTGCCAATGAATTTGTACTGTCCAACACAGTTGCCACCAACAACATAGAACTGTTCAAATTAAGATTGAAATATGAAATTCAGGTGCTCACTCATCCTAACCACATTTTACAGGCTTAACAATCACATGTGACTTGTGGCTACCTTACTAGCACAGATACAGAAAATTTTCCAGTATCATTGAAAATTCTTTTGTTAGCACTGCCGAACACTTTTAAGTGGAAGTACCCCTAGGAGAAGTGTGTGATCTGTCTTCAGAAAACCAAGCAATCTGATCAACTTAAGATACAAACCAGGGCTGGGGATGTGACTCAAGTGGTAGCGCGCTCGCCTGGCATGCGTGGGGTCTGGGTTCGATCCTCAGCACCACATACCAACAAAGTGTGTCCGCCGAGAACTAAAAAATAAATATTAAAAATTCTCTCTCTCTCTCTCTCCTCTCTCACTCTCTCTTAAAAAAAAAAAAAAAAAGATACAAACCAGTCCTCGCGTTCACATTAAGAACTGCATATGCCAGGTACAGTGGCACACGCCTGTTATCCCAGCGGCTTCAAAGGCTGAGGCAAAAGGATCATGAGTTTAAAGCCAGCCTCAGCAAAAGTGAGGTGCCAAGTAACTCAGTGAGACCCTGTCTTTAAATATACAAAATAGGGCTGGGAATGTGGCTCAGTGGTTGAATGCCGCTGAGTTTAGTTCTTGGTACCCACAAAAAATAAAGAACTGTGTGTAGCTGGGCATGGTGGCACATGCTTGTAATCCCAGCAGCTCCAGGAGGCTGAATCAGGAGGATCACAAGTTCAAAGCCAGCTTCAGCAATGGCGAGGCACTAAGCAACTCAGGGAGACCCTGACTCTGAATAAAATACAAAATAGGGCTGGGGATGTGGCTTAGTAGTTGAGTTCCCCTGAGTTAAATCCCCAGTACCAAATAAACAACAACAACAAAAATCCTCCTGGACTGAAGTGATCTTCCTGCCTCAGCCTCCTGAGTGCTGGGATTATAGGTGGGTACAACTATACCTGGCTAGAAAACTTTTAATTTGTTAAAAGAGATTTCTGTGCTTGGTGCAGTGACACACACCCGTAATCCCAGCATCTCGGGAAGCTGAGGCAGGAGGATCATGAGTACAAAGCCAGCCTCATTAAAATTGAAGCACTAAGCAGCTCAGTGAGACCCTGTCTCTAAATAAAAATACAAAATAGGGCTGGGGATGTGGCTCAGTGGTTGAGTGCCCCTGAGTTCAATCCCCAGTCTCCCCCAAAAAAAGAACTGTGTAGACCGCATAATATGCAATGGCCATTCTCAAAGGAAAGTGAGACAGAGAGATATTTGGGAATCAGAAGAAAGTCAGGAGAAAAGGAGCATGTAAACAAAAACATGACCGCTTTGCTGATTGGTCTCATGGTTAGTGCTGTGCCACTCTGGATAAGCATCAAATTTCAACCAGTAGCTTTGAATCTCTTGCCATCCAGGTCTTATTAAATATAAAGAAGTAATGCACTCTACTGTATATATATAATACATACAGTATATATATAAAGAACAAATAATTTAAAAATACGTGTATATATATGTAAAATTCTAGGTACTTGGGAGTCTAAAGCAAGAGGATTACAGTTCCAGATCCTGTGTCAAAATAAGGATCAGGGCTGGGGCTGGGACTCAGCGGTAGGACATTTGCCTGGTGTGAGTGAGATATTGGGTTCGATTCTTAGCATCACATGTGAATAAATAAAATAAAGTTATATCAACAACTAAAAAAATGTATTTTAAAAAATAAGGGTTAGGGATATAACTTAGTGGCAGAATAATTGCCTAGCATGCACAAGATCCTGGGTGTGATCCCCAGTATCACTCCACAAAAATGAAGAAATAAATAATACAGGAAGCTTCTTTTGAGAGTCTTTATTTTTTATTAAAACCCATACTCAATTATAACCATGTTTCTCTCCATCCCTTGTCCCTCTTTCTCTCCTTACAGATCTTCAGGGGCCTAAAAATCTGTTGCTATGGGCCTTTTACCAACATGCCCACAGGTGAGGATCTTAAAAGAAATACAAAGCTCCAGCTCCAGCCTCTTTCTTACATGGTGGAATAGTACAGGCAAGATCACACTATCGGAATCCTTCAAATCAATGAGATATTCTGAAGTTTATTCTGTTTGCCCTGCTCCAAGCAAAAGAGCCCTAAATGTCATCTTAGGGCAAAAATCTAGGCCTTCTGCCCCTTTCAAGAGCTTGAGGGCAGTGAAAAGTTAGGATTTAGGACACAGAGATGGGGTAAAATTGTTGTTAGTGCCCATTTGGACTAAGAAAGAGGTAGGGATAATAAATTAGGAAGAAGATACTTTGGGCTTGTCAATGTCAAGAAAGCGTTTTATTCTTCCTAAACCATCTTCATTTAATACAGAGAAGAAAGCACAGCAGTTGCATAAGCCCTGTGAGTCTGGGGCCATGCACAGGCCCAGAGCAGGGGCAGACTCTTGATGAATATTTTCTAATTACATTTGACATTGAATGTGATGATTAGGACTGCTGTGGGGCTCAACTCTGGTATTGTTTGACACTAAGGCCCTTGTGTATATATAGATTTTGTTCTTTCTTTTCAAAACAAAGACTACTCACCTTTGCTTCCTATGCCCCACTTCTGCCCCAGGAGCTCAGGTCTTCTTGCTCATGAGAAGAAGGCTTTAGCATTTGGTTACTGGCAGATAAGTGGCTACAAGGGAGACTGGCAATATAATTTTGCTTCCTACTTCCACTGATTATTGTTGGATTTTTATGAAATTTCCAAGTGTTCATTGAAGAATTTCTTCTTTTTTTTTTTTTTTACTTTGGTATGGTGAAAAGCAGGTATCTCTAGCAGGTTACATTTTTAGAATGAGTTAGTGAGTTTTGATTCAGTCAGACAGTCAGGAACACTTCAGCAATTCTCAGAAATAAACTGATAGGGAAGAGCTCATCCATGGATGACTTATTGCAAAGCATGTCCAAAGGGACCCAGAAGACACCCATTGATTTTACTGATTCTCCAGGTGCAAGTGGAACATCTCTTCAATCTCTGTTAATTTCTGTACCCCTGAGTCTGCTGATTCCATCTCGGCATGTAGCCTTTCCCCACTGATACACTGAGTCTCTGACCAGGATGATGTATATTTTTTTCACTGGATAAATTATCTTCCTATCTCTTGACATTTACAGTAATTACCACCAAGTATGGTGCTCTCAATGGCTGTGATTATCAATTACCAACACAGAATTAGGATGCAGGAAGGGAAGGAAGGTGGATGTTTTGTTATACAGTATCTTATCTAGCAACTTAGCAAATTAATGGAAATTAGATCTTGGATTTTTTTTTTCTTTCAAGCTTTTTTTTTTTTTTAATATTATAAAACCTTATCTTCCAAGTAGAGTTATGGAAATGGATAGCCAGAGTAGGTGGCAGCAAATCAGTGGCAAATTGACTTAGAATACTTTACAGCCTTTCTGTTCTTTGGGGCAGAGATAGAAACTCTCCTACTAAGGAATCTTTCCTCCAGGGATATGTGGTATAGGGTTATATATGTGGATCACCATGGTAATTTTGGGTCTGATTGCCCTGTTTAGATCAACTGGAATGGATGGTGCAACTGTGTGGAGCTTCTGTGGTAAAGGAAATTGCGTCACTCACCCTTGACACGGTAAGTATTTGCTGCCCTGTCCGAGGGAGGACACAGTATTCTGTCTTGCAATTGAGCAAGGCTGGTACCCAGCAGTCTCATAATTTCCCAAAATGTAGCCTCAGGAGCCTTCTCTGACCATGTACTTGTGTCTTCTGGGCCTCCATCTATGAGGCCCAAGTAAGAATTTGATAACTACAAGTATTTAATAGTACACTGAGAGGAGGTGTCTTCCTTCCCCTTCTTGCCATGTGCCTTTCCCCCTCTTTTCTGTGGCTGCTGCCAATGTATTCTGCTTTAGAAACCAAGAAGGTGTGAAGTGGCAGTGCCAGCACACATCTGTGATCTCAGCAGCTCAAGAGCTGAGACAGGAGGATCACAAGTTCAAGGCCAGCCTTAGCAACTCGAGACCCTATCTCAAAAAATTAAAAGTACTGGGGTTGTGGCTCAATGGTTAAGTGCCCATCAGTTCAATCCCTAATACCAAGACAAAAAAAAATGGTGATGTAACTATTGCAAAAGCCCTGCTCTGACACCCTCAATACTTTTTTCTTCCTGGGGATGCAGGGTGCTCAGCCAATTGTGGTTATACAACCAGATGCCTGGACAGAAGACAATGGCTTCCATGGTAAGATGTCTGCATGCTCCTATGTTTTTTGGGGTTCTGTTGGATGGGTTTGGTTCACCACTTATCACCTGGTGCTTGAGTAGCATAGTTCTCAGCACATTTTAAATATTTATTGAAAGAATGGATAGTTACAATGTCTTTTTAGCCAGGTGTGGTGGTTTATGCCTGTAATCCCAGGGACTTGAGAGGCTGAGGCAAGAGGATCATAATTTCAAAGCCAGGGCTGGGGATGTGGCTCAAGCGGTAGCGGGCTCGCCTGGCATGCATGCGGCCCGGGTTCGATCCTCAGCACCACAAACAAACAAAGATGTTGTGTCCGCCAAAAACTAAAATAAATAAATAAATACATATTAAAAAATAATAATAATTTCAAAGCCAGCCTCAGCAACTTAGCAAGACCCTGTCTCAAAACCAAAAACGAAAGGGCTGGGGGTGTAGCTCAGTGGTAGAGTACTTGGGGCTGTAGCTCAGTGGTAGAGTACTGTGTGTGTGTGTGTGTGTGTGTGTGTGTGTGTGTGT